TATGAAGAGCAACAATATCAGTCTTGAGACTAAGGTGTGCCTGATACAGGCTATGGTCTTTACAATCACTTGCTATGCATCAGAAAGCTGGACAATGGCTAGGAATGATAGAGAATTGAGGCCCTTGAGCTGTCGTGTTGGAGAAGAGTATTGAATATACTATCGATTGCCAAGAGAACAAACAAGTTCATTCTAGAAAGGGTAAAAACAGGCTGCTTCTTAGAGGCAAGGATTCTGACGCTTCGTCTGGCATACTTTGGACATGTTGCAAGGAGGGACCAAGCCTTGGAAAGGGAAGTCATGCTTGGGAGGGTGGAGGGACAGTGCAGGAGAGGAAGACCCTCTATGAGGTGGATTGATTCAGTGACTGGGGTAATGAGGATAGGTGTGTCAGAGAAAGTGAGATTAGCACACAATAGAGCAGGATTTAGGGCTGTTGTACATAGGGTTGCTATGAATCCCAGGTGACTTGATGGCGCATAACAACAACAACAACAACTATATGTTCTCTGGATGAGGCTTTCCCTCACATACTTTGGACATATTGCTAGGAGGTATTATTCCTTGGAGAGGGACATGATGCTGGGAAGGATAGAGGGTCTGCGAAAGAGAGGAAGACCCTCAACAAGGTGGATTGACATGGCAACTGCTGCAATGGGCTCTTGTGTGTCAGGAAGTGTGAGGATGGAGCAGAACAGGACTGGGTTCAAATTCTTTGTTCATAGGTTTGCTATGAGTCATACTTGACTTAACTACACATAACAAACAACAACAACAGTATGGATTACACTTCTATATCAAGAAAAGAAATCCTCACCACTGACCAATAGGCAAGACTGAAGTTGTCAAAAATTTTGTTTTACTTGCATCAACACTCAACACCCATGGTAGTAACAACAACTGAGAAATCAAAGACATGTTTTATTGGGAATAGCTGTTATCAAGGACTTCTTTAAAGTGCTAAAAAGCAAGTATGTAAGTTTGAAGACTAAGGTGCACCTGTTGTTGTTGTTGTTATGGGCCATCAAGTTGCCTGGGACACATAGTGACCCTATTTACAACGGCCCTAAACCATACTCTATCCTGTGCTAAACTTACTGTCTCTGATACACCTACACCTATTATCACAGTCTTTGAATCAATCAATCTCATAGAGGGTCTTCCTCTCCTGCGCTGTCCCTCCCCTTGGAGGGACCTGATCCGACCTTGCAATATGTCCAAAACATGCCAGACAAAGCTTCAGAATTCTTGCCTCTAAGGAAAAGCCTGATTTCACCCTCTCCAGGATGAACTCGTTTGTTCTCTTAGCAGTCCATGGCATATTTAATACTCTTGTCCAGCAACACAGCTCAGAGGCATAAATTCTCCTTCTATCATCCCTAGTCATTGTTCAGCTTCCCAATGCATAGCAAGTAGTTGCAAAGACTATGGCCTCGATCAGGTGCACCTTAGTCTCCAAACTGACATTGTTGTTTTTCAGTACTTTGGAGAAGTTTCTGAAAGAAGATTTTCCCAATGTAATTAGTTTTTTAATTTCCTGGCTGCTGGTCCCAAGAGTGTTGATTGTAGAGCCAAGCAACCTGACCAAATTATATTTTCAATTACTTTCTGTGCATCTGAAAGTTTGAAAATGAATAAGGAAGACTAAGAAGAACAGATGCCTTTGAGTTGTGGTGTTTGAGAAGAATATTTACTATACCATGTGCCATCGAGTCGCTTGCAATTCATAGCGACCCTATGTACAAGAGCCCTAAACTCTGTCTTGTCCTGTGCCAACCTCGTCATCTCAAACACACTCATTCCCACCACTCCAGTCACAGAATTGATCCATCTCATTGAGGGTCTTCCTCTGTGGCGCCATCCCTCCACTTTCAATACACCATGAGTTGACTAAAAAAATAAATCTGACTCGTAGGCAATGCAACCATGGTATCTCCTGGCGTCAAGTTTGGTAAAATTTTGTCTCACATATTTCCAAGGGCATGCTGCCATAAGGCACAAGTCCTTAGGGGGGAAAAACCTTCCATTATTCTTTGAAATAACTTTCTTTGCACACATCCTAAAGTTCAACCAAAGTCATTAGCTTCACAGCAAAAACACCCTTATCATAATAAATTGCTATCTTTCTTAGATACTTCTTATTTGTGGCTAAATATTTTTCATTAGGTCTCTCCCTGTATCTAATACTTGGTATGTTGTTGTTGTTGTTGCTATGTGCTGTCGAGTTGCTTGTGACGCAGAGTGACCCTATTTCCATTACTTAGCTTCCAGGTCTCCTTAGATTGGATTTTTGTTTTCTTGTTCTTGAAATATAACACATATTGAAGACTATAGGCTTTGACCTTGTGCAGCAAGTTCTTCAAGTCATCTTCAATTTCTGCAAGGAATGTTGTGTCATAATATATATATTATAATACATTCAGAGTGAAAAAAGAGGCAGTATATATAAAGAAAGTATATATATGAGAAAGTATATGTGAGTGTGTATTTGTGTGTATATGTATGTGTATTATTGTTGTTGTTATGTGCTGTGGAGTTAAAATTAAATCAGAGCTGAATCAGAGTAGGTTTTTAGATACTTCAAATCACATGAGAATAGATTGTCCATCTTTCACCTGCAGAGAAGCTGGTGGATTTCAACCTTCTGTCTTGGCGTTGATGGCACAATTTCTTACCACTAGGCCAACTGAACTTCACTGTACACACACACACACACACACACACACACACACACACACACACACATTATTGTTAGGTGCCATTGAGTCAAGTACGACTCATAGCAACCCTTTTAACAACAGATCTGAACTCTGTCCTATCGTGTACCTTCCTCAGCATTTCTGTCACCCTTGAGTGCTGCAGTCACTGTGCAAATCCATCTTTATAGGGGTCTGTCACTCTTTCTCTGACCCTCTACCCTTCTAAGATTGACATTATTTTCCAAAGAATAGCTTCTCTTAGTAACATTATCAAAATATGAGAAATATCTGTGTGTCACACACACACACACACACACACACGGTGGTGAAACCTACTAGAGGGTGAACTATGAGCTGTCCCAACTCTACAGCAATGAGGGATTTTTTTTTGGGACGAATATATATATATATAAAATAGGGTCAGCTTCTGAAAAACTTCATAATACTAGTAATTTAGAATATATAAATGATATAAAAATATGATTAAACCATATAACTTGCTTTCATATATGTTTTAAAAATATATTAATTATTTTAGGCATATTTTATTATTTGCAGGATCATTTAGGTTTAAAACCTATAAATAAAAAATATCTTTGTATGTGAAAAAAACTTCTAGTGTTATCTTGAAGATATATAGAATATCAGATAATTCTAAATGTGAGTCTTGCTTCATTGAATTCCAGGGATGCTCCTTGAAATTTATACATCTAATTTGTGCCAGTGTATATACAGAGGTCAATAGAAAATGATAAGAAAAAGAAAGAATGACAATACAGGCGTACACTCAAATACACACATGAACACATGCTTCTAACACTTAATGCTAGTTATTTTTATAATAAGTAATTAATAACTGATGAGACCAAATTGAATTAATTTTTTTACAATTGACAACCTTCCCAGACCTTATACATTGATAGTTGGAATTTATTACCTCTCATTCAGTCTTTTAACAAACAGATTTTGTACCCGCTCCTGGATCTGCTTGGTCCTAATCCCATATATGACTGGGTTGAGGGCAGGGGGAATAACAACATAGAGATTAGCTAGGAGTATATGTATATACTGGGGAATATCATGGCCAAAGCGATGAGTGAGGAAGGAGAACAGAGCTGGCCCAAAGAAAGCTATAATGACACAGATATGAGAGCTACAAGTGTTGAGAGCTTTCAGGCGGGAATCTTGGGAAGGAAGGTGGAAGACAGCGTGTAATATCCTAGCATAGGAGATAATAATAAGTAGTACATCCATAAACAAGATAGAAATATTCCCAAGACCAAAATAGACATTGATACTGATGCTGGCACAAGCCAGGCGAGCCACTCCCATGTGCTCACAATACGTGTGAGGGATGATTCTGTGTCCACAATAAGGCAGTCTCAGGAGGAGAAAAATAATGGGAACAATCATACATAGGCTTCGTAGGACTACAACCACACCAATCACAGCGACAGTTCTGTTGGTGAGGATCATAGTGTATCGAAGAGGGTTGCAAATAGCCACATAGCGATCGAAGCCCATAGCAAGAAGTACGATGCTCTCCATGACTGTGAAAAAGTGGATAAAAAAGACTTGTGCAACACAACACCCGAAGCACAGTTCCTGGAGGCTGAACCAGAAAATACCCAACATTTTGGGGATGGTAGCAGTGGAGAGACTCAGGTCAATCCCTGATAGCATGGCCAGAAAGTAGAACATTGGCTGGTGAAGGCTATGATCGGTCCAGATCACAAATAAGATAATAATATTTCCCACAAGAGCAATTAGATACACAACACAGAAGGGAAAACCAAACCAGACTTGTGAAGCTTCCAATCCTGGAATTCCTAGTAACAGGAATGAAGAGGGATGAGGTTCAGTGATGTTGAAAGAAGCCATTATTCTACAAATTGATGGTGTCCGTACTTGTAAAAATCATTGTCTGTTCTCATTGGACAATTCATCCACACTTAGCTAAGATGTATAAAAATGTTAAAAGTCCAAGACAAAATATTGACAGGAAGAATGTATTTCTCTAAAAGCCTTTGGTTCTTTTTCCTTCTTTGACTGCTCCAGATAGAAACATTACCTGTATTGTAACTCTGAAAAACTGAGGTGCCAAGCAGAAGCTAATACTGGGTCTTCAGAGTAAGTAAATACAACTCTTTTTTTCTTCATGAAACAGACATTATTAGAAGATATTAAGAATCATTATAATCTTAGCAAATAAGGCAACAACAATATTAGCTATAACTGGGTAATCTACTACTTTCCAGCACCCACATTCCAGCACCCACCATTACTTGCATGTATCATCTCATTCAGGTTTTCTATGATCTAAGGTCTGCTGACATATGGATTTATAGAAGACAAAGATTTTGAGGAATTAACTTCCCATTACTTAAAAAACTTACTGATCTGATAGAGATTGGTGGGACTCCTGGGACTTTGGCTTTTAGGCACCCTTCAAAATGGAAACTAAACTCATCCTTGTGAATTACCTTTTTAGCAAACAATAAAAGAGGACTAGAAAGTGAACTGCAATACTTTTGAGGAACATACTCAAAGTAATCAGCAAAACATTAGCATATCTAAATGGTACTGAGTATGAACAAATCTGGAGGATTTACACTATCAAATTGTGAGAGTTTTTTGAAGCTAAGATGGGTATGACAGTATATTACAGGAAAAACAAATTAAAAAAACCCAGAAATAAAATAGTGAAACATAATTGAAAGCCCAGAAGTAAATCTATGAATGTCTTAGTGACCAGACATGCAAAAGCAAAGTTAACTTTCAGGGGTAATTTAAATGGCAAGGAGAAAGATTTATATATAAAAATATTCTTGAATACTGAAATTCTCTTTCAAGAGTCTGTTGACTTCTGTAAGTTGGTGGAAATAGGACAGACATACTCCCTGATCCATTCATTTAGTTCCAAAGATGTTCTTTATTCTTGGTATAGTTAAACATTTTATCTTGCTCCTCAAATTGGGTCCTGGCCTTCACCTTAAGTTTAGAATTCTTCCCACCAAAATAAAATTTTAGTTTTATATTTTTGAACTGTATATGTATTAAAATACATGGTGAAAGATTGATAGCTGATTGTCATATCGAATGTTTTTATATATCAAGATATATGTGTCACTCTTAAGTCTAAGAGAGTTCAAGCTCATTGCATGTTCCTTCTTTGCCTAATATGACTTTCCCCCTCTTTGTGTCTCACTTTCTCACAAGAAAATATATGAAGTAAAAGTTTATTTAACATTTTTGCCATTGTGACATGGAGTTGTTGTTGTTGCTGTTAAGTGTGGTAGGATCATAGGCGACTCATAGTGACCCTATGAACTAAAGACCTGAATGCCTGTATATCTTTTGTCCTTTCTCCAGGTTCATAGGGTGTCCAGAGGCAAGCTATTATGAAAGTGGATGCCATTCCTGCTTCCAAGCTTGTTTTAACTGGGGAGCTCCACCAAACACTGTCCTCTATGGGTAGCCATTCTCACATCTGACACATCAGTGTCACAGTGTTCAGCTTCACAGCAACCATGAGTTACCTCTGTACAGCAAGTGGATAGACCAGGATTATATGACCTAGAAGAATGTTTGACCAAAAAATATTCAAAACAGGCTTGAAGGCCGTGGATTAAAGTCACCCACCTTTGGCTTGGTAGCATCACTTTCTGTCCACTAGGCCAACTGATCTCTATGTTGTTGTGACATGGAGTAGCATTATGATTTTGCTCATACTGGCTTTGTCACCTTGAAGTAATTACATCCTTTTTTGCTAACTCTGTTTTATCTAGAAATAAAGTGCCATTTATCTATACTGTTTTACTCACCATCCCATTAGTCTAGGTTTTTTTTTCAATTTCTGTGAACAAATACCAATCTTAAGCAGGCATACCACAAACTCACTCACTACTGATGAACACTTACCAAGATTTCTCCCTTCTGTTTTAAAGAGTCATGTAGAGACTGTTTATTCACTTGCTGAGATATTTATATAGTTTAGAACAGCATCAATACTCTTGAAAGATTTCACCACAATACTTTTGTGTAACGGAGGCGCCAGGAGTCAGAGAATCTGTTACATCTAGATTGAAGTGCATAGAAATTCCCTTGGGTCATTGCATCAGCTGAAGAGAGGCTCTAGAGGAATAAGAACTTTCTGGTAGCCACTTCATTCCTCCTAGTGACCCTATCTGACAGAGTAGGGCTGCTCCATAGTGTTTCCACAGCCCCAAATCTTCGTGTAAGGAAGCTAGCAGATCCTTCTCTCACTGAATGACTGGCAGGTTCAAGTCCAACTTTTTGGTTAACATATGAATACTTTAAACACTCTGGCACAAAGGACACTTGGTGTAGAGTCCAACTCTATAGCAGGTCTGAGAGTGGGGAATCAGAAAGACATGATAAAAGATAGACATAATATATTTGGGGAGTAAGGGACGAAAGACTTCAAGAATCTTAAGTGACTTTATATACTACAAGCGAAGTTTTAAGCAAAATTATTAACAGTATGCCATAAAACAGATAGTAGCAGTTACAGAAGGGAGTATAAATATTTCAAGAGTATTCTCATTAGATAAACAGTTACCAGTGGCTTTACAAGGGACATGCTCTTAATATTCACTCAGAATCTCATTAACAAGGTTTCTGTTTGAAGCTTACAAGTATTGTTATCAAAGCCATTCTCAGTCACTCTTTAGGTTTTCCTGAGTTAGAATGGCTGAGTGGTTTAAGGCGCTGACTCTGTTTATTAGTTAAACATGTCTAAGCTTATTCACTGGTAACAGTCCTCTTTTACCTCCAAACCTCAGTGCATTGTCCTTATTTTCCATATAATACTTAAAACATGTTCTTTATTATCTTCCCCCCCCCTCATCTCTCTTCCTTACCATTCTTTAGTTTAGTTGAGTTGAACCTTGGAGCAAATTCTGTTTAGAATATATATAGCCAATAACTCTTTTTCATGGTAAGGATACACAAAAAGAAAATGTACTATTTTAATACTACAACATGTACAATTCATAGGGTTGCGATGAGTCATCTAAGACTCGACAACACCTAACGACAATAACAATGGCAACATAGAGACAAGCCCAAGGTGGGTGATTTTAATCTGCTTCCCTCAGGCCTGTTTTAAAGTTGTTTTTTTGTCAAACATTCTTCTAAGCGGGATAGCACTAGTCTGTGCATTTGCTGTACAGAAGTAACTCATGTTTGCTGTGACACTAAACACTGTGATACTGATGTGCCAAATGCGATAATGATTACCCATGGTGGACAGTGTTTGATGGAGCTTCCAGAATAAAACAAGCTTGGAAGCAGGAGTGGCATCCACTTCTGAAATAGCTTGCCTCCAGAAACTCAATAAAAAGTGCTCAGATCTTTTGTTCATAGGGTCGCTATGAGTCATAAGCTTTTGGAACCCTAATGAGGAAACTGATTAGTTACTTTTACATCCTACTAGACTTAAAGGAAGACAGAGAGAGAGAAGAATTGTAACAGGACAGCTAAAGTGATAGTGTAGCAAGATCAAGATCAAGAATTGAGTGAATTGGAAGGAAGTAGGAGCCAAACATGTGACAGCTTACGTGGAGCTTGCGCACATATAGAGTTAAGAGTTTTAACACTTGCCAAAAGGGTCTCCAACAATGCCTTGAAATATCATGGCTGAAAAAGGATCAAACAGCAGAGAGCAAGAAGGAACTGTTCTGACTGAGGATCTGTGTCCTAAATTGTTCTCATAATTTCCAAGTTGACCAAATCCTGTTGTGCTCTACTATGTCCTTGATGAATCAGTTAACTCTGAGAATGGTTGGTGAGTTCTTTGAACGGACACAGTGAATGAATGGACCCAAAGATAGAGGAAGAATACTGAGGAGAAGAGTACCTGGTCTTAGAGATGATGGAGTGATATAGTTATTGGGGAAATTTTGACATTTGTGATATCTTTAACCTCCACTTGCAAGTTAATGGTATTCACAGAAATCAGCTTTGTATTTATCCTTCTTCTTCTTACGTGCCATCAAGTCAACACTATGAACAATAGCTTTGAATCCTGTTCTATCCTATCTCACTGTCACTGACACACAATCTCAATCTCACAGACACACCTGCCCCTATTGCCCCAGTCACTGTCAATCCATCTCATCCAGGTTCTTCCTCTTCTGTGCTGTCCCTCCATCTTTCCAAGCATGACACTCTTCTCTAAGGATAGATCTTTCCTGACAACAGGCCCAAAGTATGTGAGACAGAGCTTCAAAATCCTTGCCTCCAGAGAGCAGTTTGGTTTTGCCCTCTCCAGGACAGAATTATTCTTTTTTGCAGTCGATGGTATGTTTAGTACTCTTCTCCAGCACCACAACTCAAAGGTGTTGATTCTTCTTTTGTTATCCTTATTCATTGTCCAATTGTTTTTTGCATAGCAAGTAATTACAAAGACCATGGATTAATCACACACAACCAGACTGATATTGTTGCTCTTATTCATTTAGGAGTAATACAATATGTGGTGTTTTACCCATGTCAGTTTATATATTCTAAAAGTTCAACCATATACTGTGGCATGTATCAGTATTCCAATCCATTTTATAACTAAATAATTCTATTTTGTGCATATGGATTATTTTGTTTACTCGTTCATAACCTGATGTATATGTAGGTTTCCACTTTTAACTGTTATAAATAGTGCTGTAATGGTCATTCAAGGGAAGTCTGGTGGCCTAGTACATAAGGACTTGCACTTCCAACTCAAAGGCAAATAGTTCAAATCAATCAGCTACTACATAGGAGAAATTTGAATAATCTCTTCCCATGTGATGTATATCCTCTCAAAACCTACTGGAGAATCAGCTATGAGTTGATACTAACTGGATGGAAATGATAAAAGG